AAGTGGAAATTGTGTGTGCAATTTTGTGAGCTGAACATTTAATCCCCCTCTTCCTCTTTGGGCTTGGATTGCAATTCATTTTTGTAATTGAACTGTAATAACTTTGGTGAACTTGTCATCTAATGTAATTGGAATTTGTCCATTTCCCTTATTATATATTATATATGACTAAATTCCTGCAAAACTGAACTAATTTTTAGCATTTTTACTAATGTGTTAGCATGCTAATCTTAGCATTCAGCTAAAAGCATTGATAATCCTAAGAAAAGTCTCACAGTTGTCAATCTGATGTCAAGATAGTTTTGTCAAAACTATTGATTTATCAATAAATATCAATACTTAATATTTCACACCTTTTTAAATACTTATTTTCAGCAGTACTGATACATCTGTACCAGCTGCACAGTCTTGCTCTCTCTTATTGGTGCTGCTCTCTGCTACTAACCAAGAAAAGCTGTCGTTGTCTTAATCTTTTCATAAAATTTAAACTTGTATTCCCTGAATGTCAGCTTTTCTCTATGGTAATGAAAATGGTATTGAATATTTTAGATTTTCTAAGGTAACAAAGATAGAAATTCCAGTACAGGGGCACCCAGTAGTTCAGTAGGTAGAGCAGGCGCCCCATGTACAAAGGCAATGTCCTTGCCGCAGAGGCCATGGACTCGATTCCAGCCCACGACCCCTTGCTGCATGTCGTCCCCTCTCTCTTCTCCCATTTACACCTGAAACTGTCCTGTCAATAAAGGCAAAAAGCCCAAAATATAATCTAAAAAAAGAAAAAAAGTTTAGTTTCCATATGAAATATGTTTGCAATAATGGTGCCACTGAAGGTATGAAATGATTTACATCCTCTCCTAAGAATATGCTGATCTTTTTTTGTCTTCATCACTGTAGGCTTTGCATGTCTCAGTGAATCCCCTGTACTTCATGATGCCTGCAACAATAGGATGTTCATACGCCTTCATGCTGCCAGTGTCCACACCACCCAACTCCATCGCCTTTGCCTCGGGGCATCTCCTGGTCAAAGACATGGTGAGACCCTCACATCAGACATTGACACATATTGTTATCTATCATCACTGCAGCATCTTCATGTTTTCTGGTCCTGTTTTCTCAGGTGAAAACTGGCATCGTGATGAACATCCTGGGCATCCTCTCAGTCTCTCTGGCCATGAACACTTGGGGCGTTGCCATGTTTAACTTGGGCACGTTTCCAGAATGGGCCCAAGCAGCCAATAAGTCTGCAGTTGTTCCTGATGTGCATCTATCACTGGTCCAGTCGCTCAATGCTACGCTCTGATTATTCACCCACTGAGTATCAGAAGATTGTACAAAGTTCAACACTACACAGGGTTTGTAGATGTCTATAATGTCACCAAAATATCAGAAAACACTGGGACCTTCAGCTGTTACCTGTTGAGATGAATTTAATGAGTTTGTGATACTTAAGTGTTGTTAAAAATGATGCAACAATTTAAAAACCAGCTATATTATTTCACCTTCTGCCATCTTAAAACCAGACGGGAGAGATATTTAAGCTAAACAACAGAGACAGCCAGAGCTCTGGAGTATTTTATACATATTCTAAAACTGTCAGTCTGCAGAGTATGCTGTTCTCACTGACGCTACTGGACTGACCTCTGCTGGAAGAATAGGAAAAACCTCTGTGAATAATTCTTATAAAATATATATTTTTGGTGAAAATCACTGCGAGATCATGTTTGTTGTTTATGTATTATTGGTGCCTGTCTGAAGCCATAGCACATAAACAATATTTTAAATCTTTTCTATATTAGAGTATGAATCATGACCAATGAATGTGTAAAATTTGTAATTGCTGTTACAAATAAATGTGTATGATGATAACTGAATTGCACGTGGTCTCTGTATTTGCCTGTAATGATTGCACAGAGGTTTAATGTTAAGAGAAGGACCTTGCTAAGTTGTGTTTGCATAGAAACAATAAAGCGTGACTGTCAGTGCTCAGGCTTTGATGATCTGTGGCTGCACCGCTGCAGATTTAACACATATTTTAACATGTTTTTGCCTCTGCAGACACTAAGAGAGCCATGAGAGAGCACACAGCTGTAAATTCCTAACAGTGTTTGTTTGCTGTAGTAAACTGCCTGAAATCAGGAGGCCCACAACAATGGTTAACTTGTGCAAGGCTGTGGTCGTTACTGAGTGTTATAAAATACTCAACCAAAACCCCACACACCAGGACAGGATGTACCCAGCAGTCTGCACAACCATTGATCTGAACCAAATCTGATTTATGTTATTGCGTTTTGAGAATACAAAGGCAGATTAGAAATATCTTAGAGTTTTCAGTTGTGATAATAAATGTAATTTACCTTTTTCACAATTCACATTAAATCCTATTTTTCTCTAGTGAGATAAAAGATTTCTTATTTCAAACACATCCTAAAATCTGTTCACCTCTGTACATGAGTCATTAAGATACTGTGTGTGTGTGTGTGTGTGTGTGTGTGTGTGTGTTGTTGAGAGTGTTTATGAAATATATAATGTCCTGTGGGGCTCTGTGGGGGAGGACAGTCCTTAATTGTCTGATGAAAGTCCTGAGAAAAGATAGTAAATTTTGCACCAAACGCAGGACTGACAGCAATCATTCATTCATACATTTTTCCATAACCGCTTTTCCTGTTGGGGGTCACAGCGGGACTGGAGGTGGGGGAACAACCTGGACAGGTCACCAAACTATCACAGGGCTGACACATAGAGACACACAAACATTCACACCTATGGACAATTAAGAGTCACCAATTAACCTGCATGTCTTTGGACTGTGGGAGGAAGCTGGAGTACCCGGAAAAAAACCCCCGCTGACAAGGTGAGAACATGCAAACTCCACACAGAGGGGCTCCCCCACTCCAGGGTTTGAACCAGGAACCCTCTCGCTGTGAGGTGACAATGCTAACCACCATGCTGCCTCAGCAAGAACAGTAACAAGGAAACCACAATCACTAAAGTATAGACTTCATAACAAAGTAGCATCACTGTCTGTCATGTCATGATGAAAAAAGTACCACCAGCTAAAGAAGAACATTAAATCCCAGCAGTAATAATCAGAGTCCACACAAGAGTAAAAAGGAGTAGACTACTGTTATCCCAAAAGTTACTTAGAATGTTGCATTAGCTACACATTACCTCAGGACAGCTAGCCTTGGTTAGCAGCAAGCTAATCATAAACTAAATTCTACTAAATAACAAATCAGCAATCACACAACAGCTGATAATTCTCAAGAGTGTTTGGGCAGTAGATAAAAAATGTCTGTCAATATTTAGCCTGGTCACAGATTTGACAGCATGTAACAGTGTCTGTTAAACTGCCGTGGAGCTCTGGAAATGGCGGTTGCCACTAGCAACACAATGTCAGTTAATCTGCTGTAGGACTTTGCCAGTCGTGGTTGCTCCTAGCAACGGGACACCCAGCTGAAAACAACTGGTGGTGGCAGAACAAATGTTAATTCATTCATCTTTTTATTTATTTCTATCATGATAAAACAAATCTGGGGTGATAGTTCTTTTTGCAGTTTGTTACTTAGGTGGAAAAAATGCATCTGTCAACAGTTTTATATTTGTGTGACAAACTGGAGGAAAGAATGTAAACATGCTACAGCAGTGAAACTAAACTAGCAGCCTGAGGTAAGAGAGGACTTAAACGCACAATTATAGAGACAGTTCAGGTAAAATAACAGTTTTTACTGGTCAAACGGTAGGTTCAGTTTACAGAAGGACAGTCAGTGAAGGTAACCAAATTCAACAGGGATGAGGCAGAGGCTGTGTCAATCAACAGACAATAGGAAAACCAAGAGTCAACTGAGGTAGTTGATAACCAGCTTTGTAATACCAGCTATCCAGATGGCCAATGTTAGGGGTTAGTTAAGCCAGATAACGTAAGATATCCGGGGTAAATTGAAGTGGCTTCGTAGTACGGGCCTCTGGAAAAGGACACTGGGAAACAAAAGCCTGGACATTAGACACACAAGAAACTAAGACGAACTGGCACTGAGAGAAAACATGACACACACTAAATACTCTAAAGGATAATGAGACACAGGTGAGGCTAATCAGGGCGGGACAGACAATCAGACACAGGTGAAGTCATCAAAAGGGAGGGAAAACACACAGGGGCAGGAAGTGAAGTGATCTGAAAAGAGAGGAGATGTGAGTTTCAAAGTAAAACAGGAAACGACATGAAGAAATGAACTTTAAAAAAACAAAACCTAAGAAATTTGAGCTGTGACACACGGGCCAAATGTGGCCTGTGACAGGGTGCTGTGTGGCCCTTCAACTATTTTCTAATTCACAATGGAAATAAGCTGATTCACAGTGGGCAACAGGGTGCCTACAAAGCATCAAAATAGAGCTTGTTTATCCAAAAAAGAGCCAGGGGAGGTTCCCTTGTGTGACAGTTTCCATAATATTTCATCTGAGATGGAGGTAAATAATTAATTTCATTAAATAAGCTAATAATTAGTTAAAAAGTCAGCTTAAAAGATTTGATTTAATTCATGTTCATGTAACCATGATAGTTTTAAGTCAGTTCATGTTTGTGAGTCAAATGTGGTCCATTCAGAATGGACCCGCGACCCACTTCTGGACCACAACCCACCAGTTGGGAAGCACTGATTTAGATTATCCTTGATCACACTGGCATCAACATAACACTCAGTGAGCTGAGTGAAACAAATACCAACTGCATGAAATTTCCAGATCTTATGTCACTCTGAGAGTGTGACCCCTGTCACATTGTATGTGCGTGCGTGTGTGTGTGTGATTACATCATGCCTCTACATATGATTTTGTGTCATGTATGGTTTACATGGAGAACAACTGTCTTTTCATTTCCCACGTGAGAACTTGTAGGCTACCCACAAATACCAACATGACAGTGACTGTTGTGAGAAGTTCCTCTTTGAATGCTCAGTCTTGAAACAATTCCCAGCCCTCCTTCATCTCATATTTTCACAGTGAGAATGAAGTTCATCAGAGAGAGTATTATTGCGCCTGTCAGGTAAGAACGGTTAGTTATTTTAACTATTGTTAATTATTTTTAATAGGGCCTTATTGGTCCAATGATTTCCTAAAGGACATTACAAATTAAATTATCTGTCTATGGATATATATATCTATCCATCCATCTAGTTAGTCCTATAATGGTTGTATAATGGTATGTGGTTTATAACTTTTGGGGTCTACATGACTGACAAAGGCATGTTTAGTTTAATTACTCATTTCATAGTCTTATAGTGGTTAAAGGTGATCAGTTGCATGTGGGAAAGTATCTTGTGCAAAACTGTCCCCCCTCTGAGTTTTTCATTTGGTGGAGTTAAGTAAATTGTTAGACACTTTGGGGAAATAAGTTTATTTGTTTTCTTGATAAGTTACAAAAGGGGAAATGTCTAATTGTGGTTTAACAGGGAAGACACAGCACAGAACAGAAATAAAAAACCTGACGACTCCTAAAACTACAAATTCTTGTTTTGCATTTGTTTGTGCACAGATTAAACAAACATACACTGTGCTGATTAGTAAAACTGTGAGATGTTGTTAAACCTATTTTTTGAACTCTGGGGAGAGCTAGGCTGTTTCCTCCAGTCCAGTCTTTATGCTACACTAAGCTAATCACCTCCTTCATAGCTGAAGTAATAGCGTGAATTTGGGGAATTTTGCTCATTTGCTTATTCTGCCAAGAGATACATGAAAGGATCAATACCACCCTCACGTCATAACGGCTGAAGTCATCCTTTTTGGAGCAAGAAAAGACCATATTTGGACAAGAGGCTGGAGCTGTGGAGGAGTGAGGGGTGGATCTGACTGAGGACAATGTCAGCAGATAGCCTGTCACTCAAAACAGCCCGAACTTAATTATGCCACCCAGTTAAAGGAGCAGTATTTAGGATTAAGTGGCATTCAGTGGTGAGGTTGCAGATTGCAAGCCACTGAATTACATCTCTGCTCACCCCCACACCTCCTACCAAGTGTGTAGTTGAACCTACAGTGGCCTTCAGGTAACCTAAAAATGTGAAAGCATGGATGTATAAATAGAACATGATACAGCCTTGCAAGCAAGGGCCCGTTCAGTCCTATGAAAGTTGCACAATGGCGTAAACGTTCAACTTCCAGTTATAATATGACCTGGATCTTCTACATCATTGGGCCCATAGAGCGAATACACTGGAGACTTTTGCCGACCAAGCAGGTAACTTCTGGGTTTATCCTCCACTAACTTGAATAGGAATAAATAATTGTGCAACGCTTTTAGACATTTGAAATGTTATCAGACCAAATGGTTCAAATCCCAATAAGTGAAACGATTCATTTTGCAGGAGATGTGACGCTCAAAAAAAAAATGTATCCACTGATTAACACATGTCTCTTTCATATTTAAGTTAATGAGAAAAGGTCTTTTTGGGCCCAACGTCATCATATAACAGACCCAGAAGTTGTAATTCCAAGGTTTGGCTACTATGATAAACTGGCGCTGTTCCTAAGGGCTTGACTCTCAGCAAGAAAGCAAATATTTCCCAAAATGTCAAACTATTCTGTAACTTAATTCAGGTTGTGTTTTCTCTCCTCAGGAACAGGGCAGGACCCTGCAGACAGATTTTAAAATCTGTCCTGCTTTACCTCTGGGATGTTTACTCTGCACCTGCACCTTCTGGCAGAGACATACTGACTCAGCTGTCTCTCTGTTTCACACTCGCCATCGTCACTGGCGGCCTGCTTCATCACTGGCTGTCAAAGACTCTCAAATACAACCATGACGGGTCCATTCAGACCGCCTGCATCTACAGCGTGGCCATGTTCCTGGTCTCGTTCCTGTGTCACCCTCTGCGCTGTGTGCTGACCATGATTCTACCCACTGTCTGCACCAAACAGGGACGCAAACTCCTCATCACAGCCTCTGTCATGATTCTAGTGTTGAACGTCATCCCTAATATTTCAGTGAACGTAGGGGCGGTCACTCGCATCCTCAAGTGTACTGCTGAGGGTTTCACAAAGACTTTGTTAAACTCATCTGAACCTTTGAACAAAGCAAAGAAAGACCTTGTTGAGGAAACCATCAAAGCAAGGAGGGAAGATTTGAGCATTGTCACCAACTTGAGGAAGCTGGATCATTTCACACATGTTGATGTGTCAGAAGTCAGAGGAAGGTTTACTAAGATGATTGGGCAGATAGAGGTCAATTTCTCACATGCCAGGAACCTGCTGAAAGAATACAAACTGCTGTCAAACCGGATCCTTGCTGCCATTTTTGTTGCTCTACTAATCTTTGAATCTGCACGCTACTTGAAATCTTATCTGGCATCAGTTCAGTTTGATAATGGCCACATCTCCAAAGAGCTCTGGCAGAGAGCGAATCATAATGCTAAAGATAAAACTTGTCTCCCAAGCTGCAAAATAACAAGTCAGGAATGTACCTCCTGTTTCATATCACTGGTTCTGGTGACGTTATATTTCATCGCAATAGCTTTAATAGTAGCCTTGGATCATGTTGTGTATCATATAGTTCAGGCGATTCTGCCGTGGATTCTGGACTTTCCACCAACAACTGCCAGCATAAGTGTCGATTATAAGGTAAGACATTTTACTGTGCCTGCAGTATTTGCTTCCTTACTTTTAAGGCTTTTCATCTCTATTTTTTAATCCTCTGATAGGTGCAGTGGTTCCCCCCTGCCTTCTGTATCATCCCACAGTCTTGTGTCACACGGGAGCTGACAAACTTCCACAGGGATTACAAGTGGACTTTCGATCCCGAGCCATCGCTCTGTGATGTGACAACCTCGGCACCCAACCTGGGAGTCACACTCCTGCTGGGATGTCTGTGGCTGATGAGCTACTCTCTGGTGTTCCTCGAGGTTTATGCCAGACGGCTGCGCAAGAAAATCTCTGCATCCTTTTTCAGAGAGCAGGAGGAGAGGAGGATGGCATACTTGATGGAGAAAATACAAGTGAAGCAGAATAAAAAGGAGCACAAGGAGATGATTTATGTGAAGGTTGGGTGAACATTCACCGGATCTGGCAATGCTTATCCAATTTACTGATGATATTTTATTCATGCTAGCTGCTTGGCTTCAGGGATGGGAATGTTGGCCTGTCAGTAGGGGGTCTGGATCCAGCCACGGAGTAGTGATACATTTGATAGCTAAAGTAAATACGCCCGTCCCTAAATACTATCTGGTATTACTCCAAGTAGTGCTATCCCTGAGCGTTACATATATGTTGTCCCAATAGGTCATAAGCTTTTGACATGCCCAGAATGAATGGACATAATTCGCCGACACCTCTCTGCATACCCTCCAGCAAACACTACACGCAGAAGCATCAAATTTACATGTTATATGAGATGTTATAAAGAAGCGTACAATAAGTTTCCATCTGAATTCTCTCCATGTGTTTGATCTGGTGACCATGTGGGACCCTGAAGAGATCTTATTCCAGGTCCGCCACTTTGGTATTTCAACAACTATTTAATGGACCGCTGTGGCATTTTCTACAGATATAGTTTGGTCTCCAGAGGATGGATCTTACTGACTTTAGTGATCCTCTGACTTTTCCTCTAGCACCACAATGAGGTTGATATCTGTGGTTTTGACTCAACACAATCGCCATAATAAATGTTGCCATTGTAGGTGTCTGCAAACCAGGGACATGTAACACTTGTACATTGTTATGTGGAGGAAATGGTCAAACTGTTTCCTTATGTTTTAACAATACTGTGGTTCATGTGTGGTTATGTTTAGGCACAAAGCACTTTGTTATAGATAGGGTTAGGGTTGGGCTGGCATAGATCATATTTTGCCTTTAAATACCTGCTTTTGATGCCACAATCACAGCTGGAAATGCCGCTGATGTCTCAGCATCATGTCTCTAAAAAACACCTGCTTTTGCTGGTTTTTAATAGACTGCAGCTTGGCAGCAGTCATGCCATAGGTGTCACACTATCCACCATCACCTTCACAATGACAAAGTCAGCTGTCCCAAACTGGTTCAGTGAATGTGCCACACAAAAGACTTAAAACAGGCATAATGTGTTAAACTAAGATTAACTTAAATAACCAGGTCAGCAAAGTCAGTAAACCTAAAACAGTGGCGGCAGGATAGATGTCTACTGTAGGGAGAAAGTGAGTGAAAACATGAAGGAGCTTTAATAGCCTGATAGGCCCAGGTGAGCTCAATCAAGGTAATGACCTTCCCACCTCAGCCACCTGATGAGGTTGGCTGGAACATCCTCAAAGGCAGTGGGAGCGGCATCACACAGCTCATATACATGTCATCAGAACTATGTCACTTCAGAAAAGTCGATATAATATATATTAAATGTACATAGTAACATACATGTAACACAATGCCAATATTTTCTTCTGGTGACTGGGCTGTGAGTGAAAAGTCTCAACAAATAATGGATGGGCTGCTTAGCTTTTGTAAAAACATTCATGTTCCCTTCAGGATGAAGTGTAATAACTACGCTCGTATATTAGCTTTTAATCTAGCACCATCATCAGGTCAAAATTTCATTATCCAGTACTTTAGTTAATGATCAAATATCTGCAAAACTCATCAGTTGTACTTTGTCTTTAGTGCTGATCACCATGCTGACACACCAAACTGAGATGGTGATCATGGTCAATAGTCTGTTTGATTGATTGCTGATATTTTCTGACTCACAGTGCTGCTGTGCCAAAGTTCAGCCTTGCAGAGCTGCTGGTGTCAGTGGACTCATCATTCACTGCTCTTATGCTGTTTAAGCTTCTGTTTTTGCAAAACTGAAGATAGAGCATCCTGTGTAATAACACCTTTTCCTGTGCAGGCGTGTCAGCCCCCAACAACATCTTTCTTAGGCGCTTACACTCAAGCCCATTGTGGTTTTTATAGACGTACCACCACGTCTGCTGAATTTGCATCCCCCTTGTTTGTGTGTCTGCCAACATTTTTTTTTATTTCAACCCAAATGTCACAGGGCTCATGTTTTACTGTATATTTTCTGTACAATGTGTGCAGTGTTGTCTTTCTTTTGTGTGGCTCAGCATAAACCTGTGTGTTATTTTACCCCTCAGCCCCACTAGATGCCACTATGGTGCTGTAGACAGTGAGTGATACGACCCCTCCTGTCAGGAAATGAACAGCAAACGATTGTCTAATTTTTTTAATATTTTATTGGCCTAGATGACTTTAATAGATTAAATGAATCTGTTTCATGAACATCCACATCCAATAATTCACCAGCCTATTTTAATCAATTTGCCCTTACTAAAAGAAAAGAAAAAAAAAATCACTTCCTTTCTCTGAAAAAGTCCTTTGCATTTTATCGCCTCCTGCTTAAAACTCCCATGAGCCCTCAGGAGTTTATTTTAAGACACATCCCAGAATAATAATAGAACACCTCTTTATCATCTATTTTTAATTCTGACTTTCTGTCCACTCCGTGGTTGACTCAGAATTCGGCAGCCTAAAGATGATACACAGGAATCATAAATTATTCATGTGTTTTCTGTTATCATGAATTCTCACATCAGTGTGTTGCTTACTGTGTGTGTCACAGCTCTGGGCTTGTTATTGTTGGAAATGCAGTGAACTGAAAAACTGATTATTCTTAAAATGTAAATAAAATGCACCTCTTAACATCCAGTTTTCCCATTGTCTTTCTTATAGTAGCTTTAAGGTTAGACAATATCAACTTATACCCTATCTGAGAGTATGGCACGGTGTATATTCTGTATCAGCTTGTTCCAGCTTGAAACCAGGTGTTCCAGCTTACATTGAAGACAGATGATGTTTATTCTTGCTGAAAAATCTAAATATTCTAGGTTTAATTTTAAATACAATACCCTAAAATTCAGCCTGGCGTGTTTAGTACCTTTAGAAACTTTTGGTTCTCAGCTGGATCTTAAAATAAATAAGCAAGTTTTGGATGCACAGCATGAAGATGAGCACTAATCATCATATTTGTTCGGACACAATGCAGGATGGGCTTCTTAGCATGCAGCAGATCAATCAAACAATTACCTGGACAGAAACTGCTCTGCTGGATTTTTCTTCTTCGTCGTCTTTGAAGCTGTTATCTATTCATTAGAGGAAGCCTGGTGGACTGAGCGTTCTGAAACTATTTGAAATGATGAAAATGTATGCATCTGTCATGTATTAGCATTCACACTGTCAGTCCTGTCCACAGAAAGAGGTTTAAAGAGCTTTCCAAGCACAGAGTGGTTTGTTAGGATCTATTTAAATCTATCGTAGCTCTGAGAAAGGATTTTCTGGACGATCGGTTTTGATGTTACTTAATGTTTTCAGCCACTGGGAGCAGGTTTTAATAGTATCAGCATCCACCGTACAATCAGAGTGCTGGAGGCTGTGAAAGCTTTCACAGATCTGCCTCAAAGGAATAGCATGAATCTTAATCTTATGATGTGTGTTCCTATTAGTGCCTTGAGAGACTTTTCGAATTCTACACTTCTGAATTTGTGCGAAACCAGAAAATCCAGATGAAGTGTTAACTAAATGATGTCTGCTAGTGGCAAAAAAAGGTCTGCTTTGTAATTAGTGCCATCTTAATTCAATGGCCGAACACTGCAGTGGATGATGTGTTGAATTGCAGGCTACCTCCTCTGTTCTCTCAATAATTACAGGGCTTATGGTCACAGCCATGGCCTCAGTCGTTGACATGACGTTCTGAGCTTGAATGGGGAGGTGGAATTGATTTCTAAGTTGGTGGCTGTACAAGGCAGTGTGTTGCAGTGTGGATGTAATGGTGTGTGATGTGAAGGAGAGGGAGGGGTGCACTGGAAAGACAGGGAGAGGGAGAGAGGGAGGGAGACGTGGATGACTGGTGGGGCTCTGGAGAAAGAATGAGCATTCATTCGTGCACCTGAGTACTGCTGCCATGCCAGAGTGAGAGCCGCCTCTTGCAAATGATGGTAAGCTGCCCCTTTTCTTCTCTTAAAAACATTTGTTTCATGTTTATTTACCCTCGCACACTTTGATTTTCTGCCTCTGAATCATCTGTAAATGTTTTAGTAAATTATTCCTTCTATACAGAGATGTAAAGAGGGACGGTGATGCATTTAAATCTTTTTGCTGCAGGGATAGTCTGAGTTTTTTGGGAGAGCAGGGGATGGTCTTTCATTTTTTTTAAAAAATCATGGCTTTATGTGCACAGTGGGTCGTTAAGATACACTTTATCATTCACAGAGGAAAACAAAGGCTTAACTTTTCCCTTCACAGTCAACTTGCTAATGGGACCAATATGTCAGTTATGAGAAACAGAATACACATGGATGTTTATGGATGTTAGTGATTAAATGTTATAACTACCAGCAGTCACTTTCCCCCACCCCCACTCAACCCTTTACTTTAGTCTGCATCATAATAGAAAGTTAAATATAATGTTGACCTATATTAAAATTCAGGTTAACCTTTTATTTGGCATCTCTTTGTTCTGGAGTGTGGCTGGAATATTCATAATTTTGTTGTTTTCCATGAAGTTGGAAATTACCAATTCCACTTTTAATGTGAGCTTTGGAAGCTGTTGTGTAAACTCATCAATATATTAAACCTGCAATAACTTATTGGAAGAATGAGAGCTTTTTTGGCCACTTGGGGGCAGCAGAAACAAGCTGTAAAGACAACACTGACATATTATCACTTTCTGAGTTGATATCAGGCCCCTAGGAGGTGCGCTGGGCTTTGAAGCCAATTTTCATAGTGGCTTAACAGTGGAATTACAATGTCTAGGTGATGATCATGTGATGCTGTTGGGCCCAAAAAAGCTTTTTCCTGTAGATATACATTGGGAATGAGACGTCTGTAAATCAGCGGATACATTTTTTTGAGTGTCACAACCCTTGTGACATGACTTGTTTCACTCTTGGGATTTGATCCATTCATTCTGATAACAATTTGAAAGTCTAAAAGTCACGCGATTGAATAATTTCAACAAGTTAGCGAAGGGCTAAACCAGAAATTAGCTGCTTGGCTCACAAAAGTCTGTGATGCACCTGCTCTATGAGCCCCACAATACAGAGGATCTATCTTGGCTTCCTGTGCCACTGAGCAACTCTCATAGGAAAGAACAGGGCCCCGCCTAAATCACTGTATCCAGTTCTTTTCATACATCCATGGTTGACTGGAGAACTTGTTGGCAAACAGTTGCTTGTTTGCACCTACAGGAGCAACATTATCATTCAGTCTTGTTTGTGGCCACCTGATGAATGTAAGTCCAATAATCACATTACCCACATTACGTTACAGTCATTTTGCTCACACTTTTATCCAAAGCGACTTACAATAAGTGCAATCAACCACTGGATACAACCCAAAAACTGCAAGAGTCATGCTAGTACATCAGCTGTAGAAAATATGAACTGCTCCAAGCACTACATTTTAAAACAGTAACAGAGAAAGCTATTGTTTGCTTGATTGCTATTTCATTGACCAAGGTGCGGTCTAAACAAATGAGTTTTCAGTTTGTGTTTAAATATATGTGTGGAGTTTATTCCATCTTGTGAAGGGCTTATCGCTTGAATGAAGTATACTCTGAATCAAAAAATATAAAATGCAAGCCTCCTTCAAAAACAATCCAAGGCACGCTGTAGGGTTTGTGCAAAAATGTGTATGCCTTTATTTTACATGGCAATATAGATTAAAAAGACCAAGGCGTTGCAACAGGGTCATGACCCTTATTAAGAACTGTGAGATCCGTTATGACCTGTGAGTCACAATGCGTTGGTCTTTTTAATCTATATTGCCATGTAAAATAAAGGCATTTTAATTTAAACTCCAGTGTGCCTTGGATTTGTAACCATAATTACTGCACACGTTATATTTTGGGGTTATATTTTTATTACTTAAGTTACTGTGTTTTTAGGTACATTATTTATATTTAAGTAGTAATATATTCAGTAACTGGTTAATTATCATTTCATTGTCATTTAAAGCACTTTGTATATTGTTTCATTTGTATTTTCATGTGCAGCATTTAAGTGGAGTCATTGTGTTCCCTTGGTTATAAGCCAGTTGGTTCCTACCTGCCCTTGTTTTGTGTGGACAGGTATGGGTGATACAAGAAGGAAGTTGTTGTACCCCCAAGTTGGAATGTGTTAGTATTGTCTTGTCATGCTGGTAAAAATTAAACGAAGAAGAAGAAATAAATGTTTTAGCCCAGAAGAACTGGGGAACACCAACAATCAAGAAAAGAGGGTTTCAGATTGTTTTTGAAAGAGACTAACATTTTATATTTTTTGATTGAGAGTACACTTCACTCCTGAAATGAGCCCTTCACAAGATGATATAAACACAGTGCACCTCAAGTATCCAAAGAGCACCTGTATGTGGCGACTACTAGTCACAGCAGTGCATCTCCTTTGTCTTCATGTGTTGAGTTTCTGATGTCCAAATGTCAGGACCTTGTCCCACCACTGAACCAGGACAGCACAGCAGCTCTGTATTTGGTCTCCACCAACTCCTGAGGGAAATATCTGTCTCTTTAGCTGATAAATGCTCAACTGTGTTCACTAGATAGTCGCTTATTGTGTCTGTCTGCTGTTTGGTGCTGAGCAGGTAGTGCACAGGGGATTATTAGAGCTTCTTTTGCTAAAACAGCTGCCTAATGAAGCTTAAAATGATGCTATGGGAGCGGTGCAATGAGAGTGAACCAAAATAGTACACCAGCTCACTATAAAGGTCCAAAAAGCTGAGGGAAGCTGCAGATTCAGGTGATAATTCTCTGTAGGTTTGTCAGTACACGCGATGTCTTTCACATTGTTTTTAGATTATCATTTGATTTGTTCATACCATAAAAATTTAGAGAGGGCGTTTCAGTTTTTATTTTTGTCCCTTAGTCAAGGGATCAGCCCAAGGATCAATATGAATAATGCAGGGAAGTGTTTTGCTTTTTCCCCCATTTCATATGTGCTTCCCCAATGTTGAAACAAAACCTACATCCTTCCAAACCCCCTCCACAGCCAAATCCTTTTCACACAGTCCCTACCTATTGTTTCTCTCGATTTCTGTCTTTAGGATTCTTGTTTTGTGCCTCTGGAGATCAACTGAATTGTGGCTGCAGGACTTGACACAATGGAGAACAACACAACCGTATTTCAAGATGCCACTCAGGTTTTAAATCTGACAGAAATACCTCTGAACCCTCTTGAAGAGCAGGTCATAACAATATTTTTGACAGTACTCATCTGTGTAGTTGGGATTGCTGGGAACATTATGGTGGTGCTGGTTGTGCTGCGCACTAAACACATGGTGACCCCGACTAACTGCTACCTCGTCAGTCTGGCCATCGCAGACCTCATCGTGCTCCTGGCGGCAGGGCTGCCTAACATCTCTGATGTTGTAGCCTTCTGGATATACGGGTACACGGGATGCTTGTGTATAACTTATCTTCAGTATCTGGGCATCAACGTGTCGTCCTGCTCCATCACAGCCTTCACCATCGAGAGATACATCGCTATTTGTCACTCCATAAAGGCACAGTTCATATGCACCGTCTCCCGGGCCAAGAGGATCATAGCTGCCGTCTGGATCTTCACCTCACTCTACTGCATCATGTGGTTCTTCTTAGTGGACACAGATGAAACCGTCTACACCAATGGAGTGGTCGTCACTTGTGGCTACCGCGTCTCCAGGAGCTTCTACATGCCGATCTATTTTCTGGACTTCACTTTGTTCTATGTGATCCCTCTCATTGTGGCCACTGTGCTGTACGGGCTCATCGCCAGGATTTTGTTCATGAGCCCCCTGCCCTCGCATCTGAACGACAGAGCTGGAGGAGGGTCGGTTCACCAGGGTCACTCCAACAGCACTAACAAGGCCAACAAGGGTGCAGTCTCTGCAAGGAAACAGGTACTGGACAGGCTGATACACACGATTCATTCATTTCCAAATCTTGATTGTTCCCTCAAATTTATCTTTTTTTAACATGGTCAAAAAAATCTCAACAACTGGTGGATGGTTTGTACAAAAGTTCATGGTTCTCAGAGGATGAACCCTACTGAATTTAGTGATACCCTTACTTTTCCATTAGCTTTACCATGAGGATGACATTTCCGGTTTTGAGTGCAATGTCTTTGATTCAGAAAGTCACCAAAGTGCATTAACATGGTGATCCTTTGACTTTTCCTCCAGTACCACTGTCAGGTCAAATACTTTGGCTTATGACCAAATACCTGCAAAACTGATGATATTCCCATCAATTTCAGCTTTACTTCCTGTTCATAGTATACCTCCCAAACATCAGCATGTTAAGCTGCCAGTATGCTTCTTCTTGATGGTCAGATGGTTGAACAGCTTTCGAAACCACCACAGTTTTCTGACATCAGAATTTGGAGGCTGTGCACGGCAATTTTCTGAACTTTACAAAACCGACAGTCCGACACACACACAGTCATTTCTCACCTGCTTCTAACTGTAATTAGCCGGCTCTGTGGAAGTAAAAATAGGGTTTGAATTTCTCTCTCAGTCTCAACCTTGCTGATTTCATGTTTGACAGCACTATTTCTGTGTACAAACAAGAGCAACACTTGGAATGCCTTCCAAAAAAAGCTGACTGAGACTGTACACCATTATCTCCCTATTTTAAGTTGAGACAGACAACTTTTCATACACTCGAAAATCATAAGAATTAAAAAAGATAATAACACAGAAGGTCCATAGTCTGAAGCAAGAGGGGAAATTCTTTATTGCTTTGCATTGTTGGCAGCCCATTACAGATTCACTTCTTCCATTTTTACCTTTCACAATAAAAACACTACTTAAGGGAACATAATTTACTAGCATTTCGCTACGAGGCAACTCAGCAAATGGCTTACAATACTGAGGATAGCTATCAATAAGTACCAGGGAAAGCAAAAGCTCTATCTCCTTCCTGTTTTGGTTGCACAATTGTTGACATACTTGTGCAGTAAATTCGAATTACAAATTGAAAGCAAAGTTTATAGGGAACCAATCTAAACGCTGATGGTGTCGTTCTACAGCTATTACACTGTACAGTCAACATTTACCTTATAGCAATAAGTTAAAAACTTGTCTGTCTTCACTTTATACCAATTTCCATTTCCATGACGGCTGCCTTTTTACCCCACCCTTAAATATGGTTGTGCAGGAAACAGCCACAAACGTTTTTGCCTTCTGCAGCAGCATGACCTAGGCTGTAGCATTGTCATAGCTGGCATGTTAGCATAATGATGTTAGCATTTAGCACAGCTGGCACAAGGACAATTCTACCCACTCTGCCTTACTCTGCCTCTGATTGGCTTACCCTGACATTCTTGTCCTAACCCTAACCAATCCAACCAACAAAGGCAATCAGCCAGTCAGACGGAGAGTAGGGCAGGTCATGCCTTTGTTATCCCAGGCAAAGCCAATTTGTGTCCTGAGGTAAAGCCTCAAGCTGAGCTCAGCATAACAGTAGACTCTTGCTATGAGACATCTTCTTCAACATTGACATGATGTCAAACATGTGCCTGTAAAGATCATTATAATTTTATTCTTCCTCATTAAAACCACATTATACATCTCTCTTGTTCCATGTTTCCTTGCTCCTCTGTCTCTGTCTCTGCATCAACAGATAACAAAGATGCTGGCTGTGGTGGTCATCCTCTTCGCCTTGCTCTGGATGCCTTACCGAACCCTGGTGGTGGTCAACTCCTTCATCGACCCTCCTTACACCAACACCTGGTTCCTGCTCTTCTGTCGCATGTGCATCTACACCAACAGCGCAATCAACCCCATCATTTACAACCTCATGTCTCAGAAGTTTCGCGTCGCGTTTAAGAAGCTCTGCAAGTGCAACTGGCAACAAAAGGAGAAGGCGGTGGAGTACAACGTGCCGATGTATTACAGCGTGATGAAGGATTCGTCCCACGAGAGCAACGAGCTGGTCACTGAGCAGGAGGACGTGAGCGGCCACACCAACAAGAGGCTCAACGAAACAGATGATGACGCAAGCACGTTTAGTGTTTCTTAATAAAAGCTTTGATGAGTTTGTTGGCTTCATTAGAATTAGGAAATTATCTGTAAAAATCTTTTGTTTTAATGTTTAATGTTGCTGTTATTTCCACCTGTTAGAAAAAAAAAGTATTTACTGACCAACATCTGAAGATATTCCTCTTGTTTGCAGGTTGTATTTGTGGTGTGGTAGTCGTGGTACTTTTTCATCAGTATTGTAACTGTGTTGTAAATATAGCATGTGAGACCAGGCTTTAATGTACCTCACCCTGGGACATAATGTGCATCATCATGTGCATTACCATTACACATAAACAAGTGGTTCTTTGAAGTGTTTTTGGAAATATTGTACTCACATGAAAAGAAGAATGACTGGGAAAAATGGATATTTAATGTGACACGTAAGATGCTGTGGTTGCATATTTTGAATTTATGTCCAGACTTTTTGGTCCAGAACACTGAACTAAACAAATTGTCAGCGTAATGTGTCTCTAGATAACAAGTACACTCATTGTTTTTTAATGGTTACACTCTCAGGCTGGAGTGTACTCAACTGTATCACACACAATTCAACAGCACTGATAATCACACAGTCAAATATTTATCTTTTCTTTTAACACTTGTTTGTACATTAATCTCATTTTAACAAGACAATATTTACAGTACAGACAACAACACACAGAGAGAGGTTTAATCAAGCTGCATCCACCAAACTATTCTGGTATTTAATTAAAAGGTTTCATTGGTGAGGTTTACCTTGGTGAAGCCAAAGAACCACATTTCTATGAATAAATTAAAATATTAATTAGAGTATTATTGACAATTGAATTTTTTAGCCACGCACCACAAAACCTCAACAACTGTTGGATGGGTTGTCGTGACATTTTGTACTGATTCATAACTCCCAGATGATGAATCCTGATGTTTCTTCTAGTGCTACCATCATAGTTGAGATTCGAAGTTTTAAAACAATGTTTTGACAATTGGCATATTCGCTGGATTGCCTTTGCCTTTGGTTAGTGCCATGCATGGCCGAGTAGTGTGCATAGGCAAGTGTATGCGTTTGAACTCTGCTCAGCTGAAGCTCAAATGCACACAAGTGCTTAGGCAAACCTGGCCACGCTAGTCATAGGTGGAAGAGTCTTATATTGTAATGTTTCTTTTGCAAAAATGCATGTGATTGGGGAACGAGATTTGAATGCAGGCATTGTGAGAGTTTGTAAACAGGACTTTTGTTTTATTCTCAGGAGGCATGCAAGAAAACAAAGTTCCTTTTACAAATTGAGCTGAACACACAAAATGGTAAAAACGGTCATTTTGGGGGTGAAGTATTTTTTGGAATTTGTACCATAATTTGGTTTACAAACCAAATATCTGCAAAACTGACGACACTTCGATCAGCCTCTGTACTTTGTATGTAGTGCTAAATAGCAAATGTCAGCATGCTAACGCATTGAGCTAAGATCATAAACATGATCAACCTGCTAAACAGCAGCATGTTAGCATTGTCAGTTTGGGCATGTTAGCATACTGGTGTTAGCATTCAGCTCATAGCAGCAATATGCCTGAGTACAGGCTCACAGAGCTGCTAGCATACCTGTAGACTTTTACAGTGTGTCTCAAATCACATACTTCCATTAGTACACTTCCATGTAGTATACTGTGTGCACTATGTACTGTACTTATTGGCGTAGTGCACGAATTTTGACAGGCTAGTGTTGTCTCAAACCAAACATGGCCATTGTGCACTTACTGCAAATGACGACCGCAAATTAGCTAGTTAGCAAACTACCATTAACATTCGCGTTATCGTTCACAGTACCAAATCATTACAGACTGCTGAATTAACCCAATAGTCATACTGCTGGCTTATACCCGACAACAGTATAGTGGTGCTTAGTGCAAAAAACACATTACATTTGTACAATGCAGCAACGTTCACGTTCGTCCTCGGATGCCATTTCCAGTATGAAAAGTGGTCCCTCCCCTTCCACTACGTAGCCAAGATGGCAAGGTTTGAGGGCGAGAAGTGTCTATCGTTCCAAACTCAACTTTTTGACTGTTTTGAGTGCACCACCCGGGTACTCATAGTGCACTGCATTTTATCATACCTCTCAGTGTGAGCACACTTATGCACTCAAAATATTAAGTGTGATTTGAGACACAGCATTAGTCTTATTTATTATAAGCATGGCATCATATACAGTAGGTCAACAGCTGACCAGCTAGACAGCTGAAAACTAGCATGGTTTGGATTTTGCTAGGCTAACTAGCCCACATAACTTGAAGCCTCTATAGCCATGCTCACCTACACAGATGTTCCCACTTATCTTGACCTCCTCTCAGACCTGTGTGGGCTACACACTGATTAACATCTCCTTCACTCACCTGTTAGATTTGTTACACCTGTTACTGTTATTTTCTTTTTTAATAATTCTTATCATTTGGGCTATTAATGCCTTTATTGGAGTACTGATGTTAGGGAGATGACAGCCAGATGCAGCAAAGGTCAACATGTCAACAAAAAACAACATGTCTTTCTCCTACAGTACAAATGAAGCTAAAATATCCCAGATACAGTCGCTGCCATTATACGCTAGTGACATCGATCGGAGCCAGAATCTATACAGTAGCAATTTCAGCAGTATTGAGCTTCTGCTCAGACACCTGTCCGACCAACTGTGAGTAGCGCTATTGATTACAAGCCCACTGATTGGCACACAGAGCTCACAATCATAACGTCAGACACCCTTTTTATAACATCAAATTAATTAAACCTAGCAGAAAATGAACACTTAAACAACAATAAACAACAGTGTGGTAAGAGCTACATAAAAGCTGAAAAAACTGTTTGACGGGTACCAGTTTGTAGTCCGATCTGCTTACATGGAAGGAACGGGGCCTTTGACTTACGCTGTAAATGTTTTGGCTTCACTTTTGGGAAGCTGTCACGTTGTCTGTCTTTATTACACTGGCACTTTGACCTTTATAAGTCAATAAAGTTTAATGACTTTGTGCAATTACAAGAATAGCTCCATCTGATTTCCCTTGAGGTCTAATTGGCCAGAGTAATTAAAAACACCTGTGTGTTTGTGCTCTAATATTGAGTGTTTTAGATCTCAGTAAGAATGTTTTTTTCTTCATACATGAAATAACTTATTTCACTCCTTGAAACTGTCCAGAAACCAGATTTACTTAGTATCCAAAACACAAAACAATAACAATCCCTCAGCCCCAAATCACCGAAATATTTTCTGTCTCTGGAGGAACTCTGCGGTATGGGAAAAGTTGCTATCATTAGATTTCCAGTTTGCCAAACTGGGAGGCAGGAGGTAATAACTATGGAGGCTGTGATGGAAAACAAATCAGTTCCAATTCAAAACATCAGCCGAGTCAGAGAATGAGACTAACGCTGTCTTTTTGACGTGCAACAAATCTGACAGCAAGTGCATTATAGGATAAAATATTGTGATGTTAATCGTTGCCAACAAGTTAGCTGTCTCTGTCGTCTTACTGCTGTTGTCCTCATCATCGCTGCACGTCTCTGCCTCTCAACACGTCCATCTCTCCAGACCCGTGTATAAATCCCTTTCACTATCTGTTTTATGTATTTATCTATTCAGTTTATTGTGCATGTTTGACATTTTGTAAACAGGCTTTGTAGTTTCATGTGGATTCCTTTTACAGCCCTAATAAATGCATACATTCTCTTTATTCATGAGCGTTCTGTGTGTGTGGAATTAAAATAAACCATGACAGCATTCATCCAGTGTTTCCTTTAGAAAGTGGAGGTTTAATGTAGATTTACATAAACTGAATTGGGACTGTAGAACACATGTTTTTGTACAGCATTAGTAAAAGCCTGAATAGAGATCAGCAGATGGAACATTTCAAGCACACGTTTGCAGTATAATTCTCTTCTGTTTTGGTTTGCATTAATCAGTCTATATCTTAACATGTTTGTTTGAGCATATCACACATTTGTTTGTTTTTCCTTTCTCCTGTTGCAGATCTAAATTGAAAAATTCATGCTCAAGGCTAAACACCTTAGCATGTAATCAAATGTATACAATAAACAGAAAAACATGTGTCATTAAGAGAAGGAGCTTCTCTAACACGTCACTGGTTAGGTGTCCATAGAGTGAGGTTATTATCAATAATCAACCCTGTCTGTGTTTTTCTAATGGAGGGGACATGTTCTCTGTCACGTCGTGAATATTGTACAAAAGCATTATAGTCCCTTTGGATATTGTGCAGGCCGTATGGTGCTGATAAATTTCATTCATGGAGTTTTCATGATGAAAGAGGTGCCACAAAGGTCGAGAGAAAAGTATCACCGACGGCAGAAATACACACTCACAGAGAGACCTACAGCGTAACATTTGCTCGTGGCTCCAGCAGCGGTTGATATTTTTTATTTTGAGCTCTTACATGTGACAACATGATCAATAATATATTGTTTCTACGGGGGAGGGGTCTGTTTTGTGTTGCTGTTTGTCACAAAGAAAGATACCCACTGCTTCAATTGAAGGATTGTTGGTGCTTGCTGAGTATATTTCTTAGTATTTATTCTTTATTCTTTCTTTGGCGGCACAGTGGTGCAGTGGTTAGCATTGTCACCTCACAGCAAGAACGTTCCTGATTCAAATCCAGGGGTGGGGGATCCCTTCTGTGCAGAAATTGCATGCTCTCTCCGTGTCAGCGTGGGTTTTCTACGGGCGCTCCAGCTTCCTCCCACAGTCCAAAGACATGCAGGTTAACTGGTGACTTTAAATTGGCCATAGGTGTGAATGGTTGAAAAAACAGAAATTAGTGACCTATTAAAGGACCTTGTTTTGTTGTTTTTCAGCCCCTTTTTTAGCCTATTACACTGCACTGATAGGCTGCAATAATAAAATGTATTATAATTCCCTCTACAGCCTATTCTTATACATATTTCTGTATCATTATGACGTTGAATATTATTTCTGGCCTACACAATTCAAGTAGCATTTTAATAGGCCTATCTATAATAACTATTTTATACATTCATATGTTTTTTTCTGGCAGTTGCAATGAATTGTGCGTTTTCAAATCAGTGAAGTCTGCACCCCTAGCAGACTCTCTGAAAGCCTACAGTAAGTCTGCTTGAGGCCCCTTGTGGACTGGTTGAATTTTGGATTTGGACAGCCCTCAGCACTCCCAGACTTCCAGGGAACACGTCCGAAAAGTCTGCAAGCCTGCAAGTCTGCAAGTGTGGTGAAGTGCGGACATTTGGATTCAGCCAAAGTCCTTGTTAAGAGGTGGTTGAGGTGGGTGGATGGGTCAAAAAACACAGGATGTTGACTCAGGAGACTTGGGTGCATGTCCATGTGACACTAAGGGCCTGTTTATACAGTTCCGTATATTTCTGAAAACGGATATTTATCTTTGCGTTTGCACCTATCATTTACACATAACCGGTGTTTCAAAAACGGCTTCCAAAGTTAAAGTTTTTAAAAATATCCTTTTCTATGGAGACGTGTAAACAGGATAGACGGAGATTTTGGAAAACAATGACAATGCAACCCAGTTCGCGCATGCCCATGAGGCGCCTGGGAGCCACAACAACAATGGCGATATATGCCGGATTGTTTACATTTTGTTAGCACTTGTGGGACTACTTACGAGCTTACAAATGAACTTAGCACTGCTGCATCAACATCACCGCTACATCAGCGCAGAAAGACGTCTGCTGTGCCCAATATTAGTAAGTGCATAGCAGCTAACTGTGCTACATAGGGTTAAAATGTAGTTTATCATTGTTTTTATCATTAGTGCCAAGAGGAAAACAAATCACTGTGTATGCACAGAATGTTCTTCTATGGTGTTTGACATATGGCGTATCGCCACCTACTGGCATGGCAGGTTTTCGGGTAAACAGGGATATCGTTTTCACAACTGATCATGTAAACCCGGAATTTTTTTCTATATGGGATGAATTTAAAAAAAATAAAAAATAAAAAAATCTGTTTTTATTTGTATCGGTATCCATGTAGGCCTAAAAGACAATGTTAGGTTAGGTTACGTGCATTCTCGGAACCCATCGGCTGTATTCAGCGTCTGACTTCCGGCAGACGGCGATACAGCCTCTGGGGGCGGACCCCCGATTTTTTGGCATTCCAGTTTGATTTGGGCGGAGGAGGCGAATTTCCGTTTCCGACTTCCGTTTATATATAAGTAAATATGCTGAACCATTGCAATGGATTCAGAGTTTGCAGTGAGGCAATTATGTTCCGCCTCGTTAGTTCACCGCACGGACCGTTTAACCTGGCAACAACTGCAGCCGGCTCAAACGTGATTGGTCAATATCACGCGGACTACAAACAGCCTAGCACAGGAAACCAGGGCTCTTCCACTCTTCTTCTGGAGGCAAGATCTCCTGGGTTTGCCTACAGACTCTACATTCAGTGAATGTAGAGTCTGTATATAGAGACTAGGTTATGTGTAATGTCACATTACATACTTAACTAACATGGAAGTGGCTTTAACCTTCTCATTTAACTCGCGGCAAGAAAGCGAAAAAGAGTATTTCCCTAAATGTCAAACTGTTCCTCTGATGAAATTCACTGAACTGTGGCAATGTTTTCTTATAAAAGCAAACAAACACATTAATATTT